GGATTCTTCAGTTAGCAAATCTCTTCCCGGCTCTTTATTCTCACACAACAGATTGTCATGCTACTGTAAAAGATGTTCTTTCAAGAGGCTTAATGATAATGTTTGTCCCAAGACTTTCAGAGGCTGCAAATGCGGAACTTCACAGCCTTCAGGCAATGGTGGCAGACCTTACTCTGACCAATGACAACGATGTCTGGCAAAACAACCGATCGACCTCTCTCACAACCAAAGAAATCTATGATGCAAGATTCCCTGTACAAATGCCATCGCCAAATTGGAAGATAATCTGGAACTGTCGGGCGCCTTTGAAGGTAAAATTGTTCGCTTGGCTACTGGTCCGAAACAGACTGTCGACAAGGATGAATCTATCAAAAAAGAAAATTGTTCAATCAGCTTCATGTGCAATCTGTAGTAGCGGGGACGAAACAACAAACCACTTATTCCTGACTTGCCCGTTTGCGATAAACTTCTGGTCAAAAGTGCGAATTCAGCCAGCTATCCAAGATGTGCAACTCTTTCATCGGCTGAGCAATTCACCGTTACTGCCGTCGAAACACCTCCATGTCTTCTACATCTTATGCTTTTGGGCGCTTTGGAACCATAGGCATGATGTGGTCTTCAGAGGGCAGCAACCATCTTTAGCTGCTTGTTTACACCGAGCGATAAGTGAAGCAACCCTTTGGGCAGAAACACTAGCTGTGCAAGATCGACATGTAATAGATGTCTGGAAACATCTTTTCTCTTCCGCACTTCAAACTCTGAATCTGTTGTAACAAAACCTTTCAATCTATTATGCAATGACAATTCAGGTGGGGAATCTCTCCCCCCCCCGGTGAGTTAGTAAAAAAAAACAATTTGGTATCAGAGCCAGCCTGGTTCCCCCCATCTAGCTCTTGGTCTAGTTGAGAAAGTTCTCTTCAAGTAGGGTGCCATGGCAATAGAAGACAAATTGGATTTGCTGTTGAGGCGGATGGAGGAGTACGAGCTGAGGCGAGAGGAGGCTGATCGGAGAACTAGAGCTGATATACGGTCTCTCATAGATGTGGTTGAAGCATGCACACCGGAAGTTGGGAAGGAGGCAAAAGACTTGCCAGCGTCAGTTAAGAAAGAGCAGTCAAAGGTGACGCCCACCACATGCTCGACGAAATGCTCTAGTCCCGACATTGAGCCAATCTCACCGTGGTTGCGGTGGACAAATGTGCCACCACTCCCATGGCCTCCATGAAGTTGGTAGCTGATGATGGTGCAACTAGCACCACCAAAATTGCCACCACTGACTATTCCAAGGATACGCACGGCAAGTGTTCGATGTTGGGCTTCGATGTCAAGTGGGACGCCAACAAAGGCGACATCGTGTTCCTGACCAAGTCGGTTGTACTTGAGACCGTTCCAGCATCCATTGCATCATTGAGTGCCTTCTCACCAAGGATGATCACCGACATCAAGCGGTACACATTGATGCCCACTAGGTATTCGGCGAAATGTTCTGGGTCTAACAACTCTCAGGTTGTGTCTTATTTGTCCTTCTTAAGCACCCCAATGTTAGTGGAATCAGCTGGAGGACATTTGTTAGTTCCATGGCAACTGCTGTTGCAACACTTTGAAGTTGATCCATGGCCACCCATAACATCAAGGGATCAAGAGTTCATTATATGGGAGTCACAGTTAATGTCATGGCTGGCATTCAACTGCAGCTGTTCTGAAGTACATATACTGCCACCTTGGCCCCCTCCAACCGAAGCGAAATGGTTTCAACTCTTTGTGGGCAAGCAATTTTCATTGGTAAACCCGCTGAACATTATACATGTCATGTTGGGGCCACTAGTGTGGGATCCAGGTGATGGAAAGGTCCACCTTCACAAAATATTAATATGGATGGATGATTGGTTCCCACAACATTATTTTCATTGGAAGTATATTTTGTGGAGCAATGAGCTGAGACTCAATGTTGGAGTGAAAAGTGAGTTGTCCTTTTTGATCAACCTTATAGCAGCCACTAGCAAGGAAGGTATGTATGCTGTTGGTGAACTTGAATATTTACTTTCGGGGCTATCTTTTGTTGAAATGGAAAGAAAGGACAACTGCTACTTAAGTTGGAGTCACTTACTTCTTGCAAGAGTGATGGTTGTGGAGCTGAGCAGTACTGGGCAATTTGGTTCTATGATCATTTCCTTCAAAGGAAAACATGTGACAAGCTGAGACTATTTGGCATGCCACCTTGGCTGCCATTAGTTGGTTTGCTAGAAGCTAGAGAAGGGAAATGTTGCACTACTGATTCTGCTGCAAGTATAATTCCTTGGAATGAGCAAAAGAAAATGATGACTACTGAAACTTGCACTTGCTTTGAGCAGAAAATGCAGAAGTTTTGGGATCTAACTTTCCAGGTCAGTTTGACAACACTTGCTAGCAAGGAAAGCAATCTAGTTATTTGTGATCCTAAATCATTATATGTTTGGTTATCATCTGTTGATCTTAGGGGGATGTTGCTCAACTACTACCAAACTAGAGTGGAGAAATGGAATATGAGAATAATTTGCATGGTGATATCAGAATCTGAGTCATGTTTGGAATCAAATTACATTGGTTTGAATGCTGAAAGAGATTTGCTATATTTGATTGCTGATGAAAAAGGCTGCAAAAGGGTGAAAGACATGGAAGAAGATGCTAATTCAATTCGTGATGAGAAATATACTTTTGAGTTAGTTTCTACAGAGGTGGTAAATACATTAGAATCTATTGAGCAATGCATATGCTCGACTGATGAAATCGGCATGCCAATAAATGGACATAATCATGAACATGGGTGGACTCTGCAGTTGATCTAACGAGGTTGTCATTGTTTGCAGCATATCAAATTGTTGGGAATCACTGTTGGCAAGCAATTCATAACAGTGCCATTGTCACGCATCACACAGGAGGACTTCGCATGGAGTAAGAAGTTATTGAGGCTAAAGCTACCTGCTCTATTCTTCTTCAATGATGTTCCATTGTCTAACACCAAATATTTGGAGCAACCATGGGATCCGGGAGGTTTTAATTCATCAGCTTGGGGACAAGCCGAATTCAAGGAGAGAGGATTGTTAGACACCTTGTTGGGCTGCACCACAGCTGGTCCACTACGCAAATCCCAGCCCAAGCAAACCTAGGAAGAGCAATACATAAAGCAATAACTGCTGCTCATTCAAGGACGAACAGAAAAGGCAGGACGACGACCAACCTAGGCGGCTTGGCAATCGGCGGCGGTGGCGGATTGGGTCCAGGCTGGATCCTCGTCGAGTATCTATTCCCTCCTCCACCTCCCATTCCCTAGCTTCCAGAACCTTCTAGCCCCCTGTATTTCCCCATTTTCCACCTCCAAAAACAGCACTGTTGACTGAATAGTTGTTCGTGGTGAAATTCTTGTTGTTTGGTGATTTGGTTGCTAACAGGCCGGTGGCCCGGTGGTAGGGTTTATATCCGCTCGATCGAGAAGGGCAGCAAGATACCCTAGAGCCGCCGCAACGAGGAAATCGATCCCGAAAATCGTAAGGAAATTAATCAAATCGATTGATATCTGCGTGCTCGATCGAGAGGAATTAAAGGAAAGAGAAGAAGATTGATGGGTGGCGACGGAAATCGTGTGGCGATGACAAATGAGCTGAAGAGGTGCTCCACGCCGTCGGAGGAGAAGGAGGCCAAGAGGATGAAGAAGGAGGAGGCTGTGAAGAAGAAGAGGATGCCGATGGAACGGGTGCAGCACCTGCTGTCGATGGTGCCGAGGGCACCGGTTCCTCTTCCGGTGATCCGTGACGATTCCCCGGAGCTGAAGGAGATCGACCAAGCCCTCGCCAACGTCGTGCAGGCTCTCAACACCAGCTCTCAACTCATCCGCCAGATGCAGGCCAACACTCTCGACCAGCTGCGGACCAAGGGCTACGTTGACTCCAACAACCTCTAGTTGAAACTGATGTACTCCTTAGTAGTACTACCTCCGTCCCAAAATAAGTGCAGCCGTGGATATTCGTGCCCAATGTTTGACCGTCCGTCTTATTTGAAAATTTTGTGGAAAATTTAAAAATATTTAGTCACACATAAAGTACTATTTATGTTTTATCATCTAATAGCAATAAAAATACTAATCATAAAAAAAATTTCAAATAAGACGAACGGTCGAACGTTAAACGTGAATAGTGTAAAACTACACTTATTTTGGGACAGAGGGAGTATGATGCTGCAAACTGTCATTAATTATTAACGATCTGAACCATCGAGTGTCATTAGCTATTGACGATCCCCTCAACCATCGATGTATCTGTATTATACTACATATATTTCACCTCACCTACTATACGGCGGGAGACCGGGATGAATCTTGTAGTGTGTGCCCTGGTCTTCTTTTTTTTTCAGTTTTTTCCGTTGCTACCATGCCAAAATTAATATGGAAAATACCAAAACCTAGAAAAATTTTGGTAGTGCCAATTTTTTTTTGTCAATCTATATGTGTGTTATTATTGGTATTTTTTTAGCAAACCAAAAACTAGCCAAAGTACAATTCAAATTGCTAAAAATTTGGTAGGGCACATTATTTTGGCATCAAAACCAAAATTCTTTCATGCTATTGCTTTGGTTGTCAGACTGAATAAAACCTTACTAATGTTATATTTTGCTAATCAATGATGACCCAACATATCAAGTTGATAAATGTGAATGAGTGACCTTTACAGGACGTCCTGCTGTGTTCTTTTTGGAGAGGTTGGTAACCTCTCCCCTCCGCACGGAAAACAGAACGATAGATTAACACATGATTAATTAAATATTATCTATAAAAACTGGAAAAATGGACTAATATGATTTTTTTAAGCAACTTCCCTATATTAATTTTTTACAAAACATGTACCGTTTATCAGTTTGAAAAGCATGCACGTGGAAAACGAGGGAGATGAGTTAGGAAACCATGGCAATGAACACAGGGCTGAAGACAAAATGTAAAGGTAATGAACCTGCAGTATGCAATCACGCTATTCTGGTTTTGCAATGTTTCGACGTCTGCTTTAGCTCTATGTATCTTTTATCAAACTGATGATACAAGAATCCTTCCGATGTACAAAATGCAAAGATCTCGAAACTTGACATTGGTGTGACATGGTACATCTCAGCCTTGAAGAAGAAAGAAAGAATCACCCAATGCTTTCGGGTTAAGGCATTCTACATCTGTACATGCCATGCCAGTCAACACCCAAGTTATACAGTATAGCTCTTATACAACGAGCAAAGATACACATGAAAGAATTTATACGAAAAAAATGACCACCAGGGAACTGCACTTTTGCAATCCTAAAGTGGTAAATGTGAAGAAGATCCATCCAAATCGTGTAAAAGGTGAAGGAATCAACATACACCATTGTTAACCAGGGATCTACTTCAAAGGTATCATGCTGGTGGCCTGCTACCATCTTTAGCTACTATGAAGTATTGCTTAAAATCTGGCACAAAAACATTTCATCCTATCTCCATTTTGGAATTAATGTAGTGCCACCATGCCACCCTTACTATACTCAATTCATTATAATGCTGCATCAGATTTTATCTCACTCTAACCCTCTTTGTTCCCGAAAGTTCTGTTGCTCCAAAATCCCAGAAATGTAGAATGTGGTGAATCTCATGTTACTGTTATTAATGTATATTGCATTCTGTCATAAACCTTTCCCCGTTGGTCATATACTTCCTCCAGTAGCCCTTATAATCATGTATGCCCAAATCAAGCCAAGGTTTCATGACACCATTGTAGTGTAGAGTAACAGACCTTTTTATATCGGTTTGACTAACTCCATAATCATGTCCAAGACCTGATTGGACCCATGAATCTTCCAAAGGATATATCAAATCTTGAAAGACAAGTAAGCTTATGGGAAGTACTTTAAGTGGAAATGATGTCACACTGTCCTTTTGCAACTACAAAGACAAAGGCAGTGCATGAGAATACTGCTCTCATTGGGACACAATTAATAAATGAAGTTATGGAAGGATAACTAGGGCTACTAGAAAGGAATTCAGATATTCTCTATGATAAAAGTTACAATCGAATGTAAGATCTTAGGGATAGGAGTACTAACCTTTTGAAGCAATTGTTCATACCGACTGGTAATGTGGAGATCCCTCCATTTTTTCAGTTCAACAACATTCAGACCAGATAACCACACACATGAATTGTTGTCAAAATTACGTTCCTCGGTGTAAGCCTTCAATTGTCCTAATTTAACTTCACAGAACTGAATAGCTCCCACCACTTTACCACCCATATTGAGGTTCCACAGAGATGACAAGTCTTTCTGGACAATCAAATCATCATCTAGAACTACAACTCTATTCAAGCTAGGAAGAAGGTCAGGCAGGAGGAAATGTGAATGGCCAAAAGTAGAAATGTACTCAGTTTTCATTTGCTTCTGGAAAGATTGAGAATGATTACGAAACGTGACACGGAATTCCTCAGCAGGTCGTAACAGTTTCATATCATGAAAATCAACATCCTTAGAGAGCTTCTGGTGATCCTCAATGTCAGTTACATGTACAGTTGCTTCCAAATACATATTTCTGTCAAACCAATGCTTCATCGCATAAAAATTTTGTGAATCGGTGAACAAATGGAAAACAATGCTACCCGAATCCTGAAATGTGTCAAGAGGATGCAAGTTAGAACTGAGATGGATTACTCATTGGTCATAATGTTTTCAATCAGTTGGAAATACCTTGGAGTTCATAACTGTTGAATTAATTGTAGTCGAAACTGCAAGCACATTCTTGGAGAATATCACATAGTGATGGAAGGTGGGGTCTTCAAGTTTCTGCTTGTTTGACTGGACCGTATGAATAGACGTTGATTTGAAATATTCTACAGTCAATCTCATGTTCAAGCAATGGTGAGTTTTTGGCATAGTTTGTACCCCAAGATGATAGAGAAATGCACTCTGCCTTGTATGGAAATAAGCTTCATCTTCAGTTATATCAAGTAGCTGCCTAAGTTTCCGTTCAACACTTGTGCAGCCGACTTCACAAGACTTGGCTCTTTCAATTGTGTGCTCCATTTTCTCTAGCTTCTTTGCAAAACTGAAAAAGTATAAAAAGAATGTAAATAAGGTCAAATATTATAACAAAAGAAGCAGTCCTGACATTGCTAATTCTCATATAATTTGTTATGAAGTTTAATTGTATAAGTTTTTTTTTTTTACAAACAAAGCAGAAGATATAGATTTGATTACTAAGATTGGACTCACAATGGTGGAAGATCAGCATCTGCAATGGTGTCACTGAGCATGCGTTCATGCTCTTGGATGTTTTGTTTCAGTTCACGTGTGAATGTTTCCTGGTTCTTCAGCTTTGCAATACTAGGATAGTGAGCTCTTGCCATAAAAAGTTGATCCTTAAGCCTCTTCACAATAAAATCTTTCATCACTTCCTTATATTCAACAGACCAGAGACAGTAGATACCATATTCAAGTTCACAGGATTTGGGGTTCTCCTCATGCTCGACTTCTTGGTTCTCTTTCTTATCAATAGTAGTATCCTGTCACAGAACAGATTCAGAGTCTTGTGGCAGAAAAGGAAAGGGCATCCATCCTACACAAACACCTATCAGGTTATTGTGCTACTATTGTCTTTAAATTCATTTATATCAAGGAAAAAATATGAAATTTGAAAAAGCCTTTTCTAATGTATCATTATGTCCATAATGCAGTTGTGATTTGCGAAAGCATTAACAAACAGACGCACCAAACACATGTGTACAAGATTTGCAGAGTAATATAAAATTACTCAGTGGTTCTGAGCCATATAATAAACTTAGTAACAGCAGAAAAAAAAGGGGCAACCAACTAAGTTTCAGAGGAAAATTCAGTTCTATACTGTGCTGCAAACTATGTCAAGTATGTGCATTCTTAACTGATTGAAAGTACTGGCAACAGTGAGATATCTAAGAAGCAATTTTTAAGGTGTGAAATATGGCCAAAAGGACAAGTCAACTGTATAGTACAAAATTATTGTACTTTTAATCAACACAAATGTGTACATTATTACTGATGCCACACTGGAAATCAAAAAAATGTTCCTACTCAAATATTTCACATTCACTATCTGTCTTCCTGAAGATCCTGTTGACTGTAAAATACCATTACTAATCAACTTATCATAGCAAGAAGAACAAACATTATAACTAACTGTGCTCACAGACAAGAATAATCCGTTGGTTACTCCAAACCGATGAAATGCACATATATTAAAATCCTCAAGATTGCAAATAAATATAGAAACTATTTCTTACCTTTGATCTCCAGGATAAGTCCTTTAACTGGTATCTTCTTTGTGTATGAAGTTCTGAAATAACATTGGATACTATAAAATGGATGCTGGTGGTATCTTGCAGTTCTTGTTTTACAAAGTAAATGCAGTAACACACTGCAAAATCTGATCTGACATTTCTTACCTTTGTTTTTTCTGGTCTCATTTTTTAGCTGAACTAAAGAGAAAACACCCTTGAGCTTTTCTTTTGATTTGGTAGAAACATTCTTGGACTTTGATCTACTACCAGATTTCTCACCCAAAATCCCATCAGATCCAGGAATTTTCTTTCTAGAAACATCCTGGTTCCACAAAAAGGAGATTAGCCAAAATAATAGGAATCATTTGAGAGGTCAGTGGAGCAAGCTCTTAAAGATTATTGTAACCAAGCAAATATCAAAATGGCATGGGTGATTCATTTCAATAGCAGTGCACATTCAAAATAAGTTTAGGCAGCAGTGTAAACCATATCGCATACGAGCTGATTCATCTACTTGGTATTAATTTGTAATACAATACATTTAGTACAAAACTGCTAATCCATATGTTACACCCCCAACATGACGATACCAGGCACGAATAGCAAATATACTATAGCCGTAGTGGCATACTGCGATAGTATTCGACCGAAGCCCCACTTGGGAGTCTGCTGCAGTGCTGTAGAGCAGTTTTCAGTTACATGAGTCACAGGACATATACATTTACATGCAAGTACCGCAGGGTAAATTAGTAGATATATTTTTCACAACAGCATGTTAATTGAAAATTAGGTGTGACAACAGCAGTTAGGAGGAAAGCAAGGCAACAATGTAAGGCCCAAAAGAAAAACATAAAAGAAATAAGACCAGTTAAAATGGAAAGATGTGCAGTTCATCAGAAATGTTGCTCACAGCAGCAACAGTCCAAGTCCATTTGTCAGTGTCATTGGCAAAGAACAATTTTGGGGTGGTAATACCAGAATAGCAACAAAGCCCTGGCTTACAGTGTAGAGTGAATACCCCTGCAAAGCAAGGCAGAAGGCAGTAAAGAGTCAGCAAGCACACTGCACACACATGCAGAGTGCATGAACCGATGCCGTCTTGTTTTTTTTTTTCCTTATACTACAGAAACCTACCCATAAAACCCGCCTGAAAATTTGGGAATTTATGTTCAGAAGGTCAGTTCTTACTCCAGAGTCACACAAATCTTCCAATTGGCAGGACAGAATATCAAATGGGAAAATTCTTCCCAGTTCGCTGGAATCCCCAGCAAGTTTTTTTTTTGTTTCTTTTCAAACTTCGTATGCACTCTTATGCTTTCAGTAAAGCTGGGCGACTAAGAGTTATGAGTCAGCCAATGGGCAGAATCAGCAAGCAGCATTACCTTGAGTAGCTTGTGCTTCATCCTCCCATCCAGATGCTTGTGCTTGCTAAACCCCATTTCCTAATTAAAAGGACACACGCGCGTCAGAAGAATGAGAAAAAAATAAGTAATTTCGAAATGTAGCATGTATGAAATTCAGAAGGAGGGGGAAAAAATGTGTTGATGAAATCGTACAGTGCTGATGACAACCGCGGCGCGCTCCTCCGATCCATGCCCTGCTGACAGTTAAGAAAAAAAAGACAAGCAGGAGGTGAGGTGAGCAGCATGTAGGTAAGGTACAGAACAGATCCGAGGCGAGGAGGCAGGCGCGCGTACCGGGGCGGTGGAGACCCAGGAGGAAGACGAGGGGCAGGAGGATGGAGCAGACGACGAGCGCAGGGACGGCCGCGGCCAGGGCGGTACACCGGCGCTTGGGCGGCGGCGACGGCGGCAAGGAATGGTGGTGGTGGTGGCCCTTCATAGTGAAGCCGAGCGACACCTGCTTCACCACCTTCCAGAGCAGTGAGCAGTGAGCAGTGGCAACTTGTCGTCGTCGTCGGAGCGGACGGTGGCCGTGGCCGCCGGTTGGCGCTGATGGGTGATTAGTGGAAGGAATTAATTAATACTCCTAGTTAGTTCCACATTAAGCTAGGCAGGGGCAGGCATCCTCGGGGAGCTAGGGGAGTGTGTTATTGAGCAAAGCGCGTTCTTGTGCTCTGCTTGGAGAGTGAAGAGGAGCGGCGCATATTGGTTGGTTGGATTCCACAACTCTCTCTCTCTCTCTCTCTCTCTCTCTAGTTTCTTCTTTTTTGCTTTTGTTTGTTTCTCCTTTTTGCTTTGCTTTGGACGTTGTATGTCTCTTTCTCTCCAATGAAATCGAAATCTCGTGTCCCCTGACTCCCCTCTCCTTCGTTGTCTCACTGATCTTCATTGTTCCTCTAAAGTGGCTTGTCTACTTAAGCTAAGCTAATCAAGCTATTAGAGCACTCGCAATAATAAAATAAGGTGCTCTCCATATAAAATATGTATATCTCAGCAATAAACTAGATTAATAGTAAACCAACTCAATAGTATATCTACATGGGTATCTATAGCTCTCTAATCCATTGCCTCGTTTTTCTCTATAGACTATCTCCAGGTTAGTAGATAGCTTTGCTCTCTCTCTCTTCATTTAATTTATTCCAAGTAGAAAAATATGCTGACATGAATCTCTTGTATAGAGCCTATAGATAACTATTGTGGGTGCCCTTAGTAATACACACCATTCACCATTTGCAGCAGCACATCTTAAATACTCCAAAACCAACATTATACCTGGATCGGTTATAAGGAGTAAAAGTTATTTAACTCTACTCCCTCCGTCCCCATAAAAGACCAATCTAGTACCGGATGTGATATTAGGTTGGTCTTTTATGGGATGGATGGAGTATCTACTAACAGATAGAGGGATTAAGAGTAGGTACAATAGTAGACTATTAGCCAGCTATAAACATATTTTAATGAGATAAAAGATGAGAGAAAAGAGCAGCGGGCTACAGATAATGTAGCCAGTTGCAGCGCGGATTCCAAGACGCAATTGTGTGTATGACAGGTGGGACAATATATTAATAATATAGTAAGCAACTATTATATGAATTGGCTATTAAATTAGCTATAGATGTATTGGAGCTAGTAGTGGGTTATAATATTAAACTACTACTCCCTCCGTCCCAAAATATAATAACTTTTACACCAATATTCTTTTTTTTTAACTAATCATAACCCTTCACCATTCAAATTTTTCACCTACCTTCACTTCTCATCCAATAATAATCCTCCCCTATTTAATTCTATCTATTTTTTTAATAACCGTGTCTAGCACTAAAAATGATTATATTCTGTACCAGTGGGAGTATTAAACTTGCTTTAACAGTTCGACCATCAGCTGGGAAAATGGAGTCGGGAGCCCCGGGACTCGTCTCGTGAAACTGCAGGCGCCCAAAGGACTAGTCCCCACCGTACGAACGTAGGCCCTCCTCCCTCCATGTGCCAGCTCGTCGCCCATCCATCAACCCAAGGAAGGATTTATCGGTTTTCCTACTACTACTACTACTCCTGGTGAAACCAATAAATCCTAGTATATTTCACTGCAATTTCAATCTCGGTCATTTTACTCGCTGCCATGCGTTGCACGCCCACAGCATCAACATGCTGATCCTCATGTGCACATGCTTTCTTCTTCTCATCATCGACCAAACAAATATGGGCTTGCGCACGCACATCCAAAAACTTTGTACTATTCCAGATAGATTCGTCAGCAATCTATAGTAATAAACTAAACTAAATTAACCCCTGGTTGATTTACTTTGCTTGGTTCAAGGTTAATTTGAGTCAGCTCTCAGTCAGTCGGTCGGTAGCAGCTACCTGTTGGCATTAGAGCAGATATAATAGCAGGCTATAAGTCAGCTGCAAACATATTTTAAGAAGATAAATAAGGAGAGAGAATGGCAGCAGGCTACAAATTTGTAGCTAGCTGTAGCACTGATTCCAAGATACAGTGTGTGAATGATAGGTGGAATCCGAGATATTAATAGTGTAGTATGTAACTATTATATAAATGAGCTATTAGATTGACTATAGATGAATTGAAGCCAGTAGTTGGCTATACTACTGAACTTCCTCTTAACCTACTACTCCAATTGTCAATCAAACCACTTTGCGTGATTCGTGCCATGATTTCATCACCATTTAAATAACAAAGGCGCTTTTCTATTGCATGCTACAGTACATAGATAATCCAACAAATATACTGTCCGTAGATCTGCGCTACACACACGTGTTCACATGTATAAAATACTTCAATACTCCCTCTGGCTGGGTTGGCTTGGACTGTGTTGGATTACTCACACGATCGCAAATGTATATAATCAGCATGTTAATTCAAACAAAATACAACTCCAACCTCAAAAACAATCTAGGGTGTGTTTAGTTCCTGAAAAAAGTTAGAAGTTTGGGGAGAGTTGGGAGTTTGAAAAAAAAGTTGGAAGTTTGGGAAAAGTTGGGAGTTTGAAAAAAAAAAGTTGAAAGTTTATGTGTGTAGGAAAGTTTTTGATGTGATGTGATGTGATGGAAAGTTGGAAGTTTGGGGTAGTTGGGGGTGAACTAAACATGGCCCTATATGTGCTCTCTCTGCTCTTCACTAAAGACTACTCCCTCTAGTTTCATTTTAATTGACATTTTGGACAACGACACGGTCTACAAAATATATTTTTGACCTTATTTTTCTATTATAATATATATAATAAATAAATACATGTTTACTTTTTTTATTATAGTGCTTTGAAAGACAAATATATATATATTGTTCTAGTTCCTTTAAACTAAATATTTTTAAAGTTATTGATAGTCAAAGTTATAAAAGTTTGATCTCAACCTTATCTAAAACGTCAATTAATATGGAACCGGAGGGAGCACCTCCATGAACTTGTGAATGATGTACTCCTTCCATCTTAAAATTACTAAGAATCTAGAATCTCGTATTAGGTTAACTCACATTTCATACTAAGTTAACTTATTTTGGGATTAGAGGTAGTAATATAGTGAACTTTTTTTGCTGCTACAACTAATTAAGTACTCTATGCTGGTAGTACTAGATTATTGTCGGGTGCAAAATGAACGATCAGAATTAATGTTGGCCCTTGGGACGCACAGGAATCACATAAAGAAAGAAATGCGCGATCATGTCTCTACTAGGACAGTCTCATTTGGACCAGACCAGACCAGCTAACCTCTCCTTTACTCCTGCTCTTCTGGATCTCATTGCGCTTTGGTACCAATAGAGAGATCAAAGAGACTAGACTTTGTTTTGATCATGGCCATGACATATTCCTTGCATTTAAAAAAATGCACTGCAGTGATAGATCTTAAATTCTTAATTAATCTGTTTTGCACTGCATATTACAGGACTGAAACCAATATCGGCTCAGGGCACCGTTTTTTCAGCTTATAGAAAAAGTTACTTTCTCATTTTTCATTTACAAGCTTTCCAAATCATTAGACTGTGGTTTTTTAATGAAAACTATATATATATATATTTAAAAAAAATCTATTTTTCAGTCTGAAGCAAACAAGCAGCTGATTTTTAATTAATCATGTGCTAATCTACTTTATTGATTTAGTCGTAATTTGATAGCTACCTATTGCTGCACTACCTCGCCTCTTTCATGGCGATATATAGCAGTTAAAAATTGACCTGCTTACAGCAACCAGGGGCCTCTTTCACACTTGAGCAGCGTCAAATTTGCAAAAACATTCAGCTTAAACTACCAAAGGGAAACTAGTGCCTAGTTGGTGTAAGAATCAGGCAAAATATATTCTCTGTACGAACAAACAAGAGATGTGATCTGGAGGCAGTCGAAACAAACACGTCCCAGATCCAGAGGGAGATCGATGCGATGCGATGCCCACGAACTCGACAGGCTGAGAGGGAATCACTTTTGGCTAGGAAGGAAAATCACCAAGCTTCAATTATGCAGATATGGAATGTTCCTAGTTTAGGCAGCTAGGACCTCACTCTTTAGCCTCCCGAGCGGCCACAGTGCAAAAGGTGTTAAATTAAGGTTCCTATATTGCGGCTTTGCAAACAGTGTCTGATCATCATCTTTCTGCAGGGTTTCAAAAGCAGAAATTTGCAGCTTCAAGAGCCTTCCTGGGTACAAAATCAACTAGTCGACCAACATATCCATATGGTTCTTGTTGCCCTGCAGGGCCCAACACAACAACTTAAAAGCCTTGTTTCCATGATTTCCAGGATATGTTTTATTCCAGGATTTGAGATGGCCGCACTTTGTCATGGATGGGGAAAAAAGAAAGAAAGGAAGAAAAGAAGAGAAGAGCATCATGAAAGCACATATAATAGTATGCCGCTGCTTTATCTCGTCACCTTTCAATTGCTACCTAAACCAGGCCTCGTAACTTTTTTAATTCCACTTAACAAGTTGAATTCAGTAATCCAGTCAAATGTACATGCAGATCAACGAGACATTATGTAACCAGCATCGTCAAGAGCGTCTATAGTAATATACTAGTGAATTTGAACAGGTACAATAACAGACTATAAGCCAGCTATAAACATATTTTAAAAAGATAAAGAAAAAGAGAAAAAAGCAACGGGCTACAGATCTATAGCCAGCTACAGCACGAACTCTAAAACATAATGTGTGTATGATAGACAGGGTCAGGTATTAATAATATAGTAAGCAACTATTGTATAAATTGGCTATATATGATTTAGAGCTAATAGTTGGCTATACTATTAAACTTGCTCAAGTAAAGTGGAGTTTGTCAGCGTCTATAGTAATTACAGCGGATGCATCTCCTGGTCAGTGTCAGAGTCGTCGGAGGCCTCGCCAGGACGTCGACGTAGCCCTTGGCCTCGAATTGGGCGCGGATGACATCATGCCTCTGGCGTATGGTGGTATGGGTGGTCATTCAGTCTAACCGAAAAATTCGGTTCGGTTATTTGGTGTTTGAAAAATTTGGTCTTTAGAATCACAAGACCGATCGGTCTTCAAGAAAACTCAAGACCGAGCATTTCGGTCTTCGGCTAGTTCGGTTCGGTCTCAGTTATAGACCAAACTTAGCACAAAAATTAATTGCAAAAAATTTTTTGAGTCCTCTGTACAAGATCGATGAGAAAGCAACTGGGATGAATGAGTAAAATATGATGATGCCACCAACAAGTAGCAAGTAGAGCATGATTCATGGAAAAAAAATCAAATCAAGCAAATCAATCCAGCCATGGATCCCGTCGATCTCAACCACTCCACCAGAAAGTCCAGATCCCATCCATCTCGCGTCTCCCATCAGCCTCGAAGGAAGTGGCGGAAGAGCGGAAGGAGCGGGCGCGCAGACGCGTGGGGAGAAGGCGGCGGTGCTGCGCGGCGCGAAGAGAAGGCGGAGAGGCGTGGCGCGAGGAGATGGCGGAGGCGCGGTGAAGGCGGCGCGGTGGGTGGGGAACGCGGAGCGGCGTGGTGCGAGGAGGAGAAAGCAGAGATCGAAGAGGCGGAGAGGAGGAGGAGAAACGCGAGGAAGAGGCAGCACAACGCGCAAGTGGGGTTGTGGGAGGACCGGGCAGAGTGGGAAGGAGGTGGGGACGGGATGGAATGTTAAGGTTTTCTGTAGCTAATGGGCTATTGGGCTGTATTGGGCTTTCATAGTGATTCGGTCAATTCGGTTATTTCGGTTAACTGAACGAGATGACCGAAAAGACCGTGTAAAATTCGGTTAGTTACAACTGATGACCGAATTTGTGACCGAATTTTTCGGTCTCAGTTAGTTCGGTTCGGTTTTTCGGTTCGGTCTTTTTTTGCCCACCCCTAGGTGTAGGGGTGGAAACGAGCCAAGCGAGAAAGCTTGGTCAAAAACAGGCTTTGGCTCGGCTCGGCTTGATAAATGGAACGAGCAAAAAGTGTAGCTCGGCTTGGCTCGTATAAAAGCTCGAGCCGGCTTGTGATGTAAGCAGCAAGTAGGGTCGGCGGCGCAGGGGGCGTCGAGCTCGAGCGGCACCGGGGAGGGAGGCCGGAGGCAGCGCAGGGGAGGGAGGCGGCGCTGCGGCGGCACAGAGCGTCGAGCCGTCGATCATCAAGCGTCGCTGGGGAGGGAGGCCGGAGCCGGCGCAGCCGCACAGGGGAGGGATGCGGCGGGCCGGTGGCGCAGGGGAGGGAGGCGGCGGGCCGGCGGCACCGAGGGACGACTAGGGACTGGGGAGGGAGACAGCGGGTCGGTGGCGCAGGGGAGGGAGACGGAGGCGGTGTCCGGCAACTCCTCTCGCCAGTCGCCACCAGATGCCAGTCGTGCGCGCGAGCGGCGGCGTGCCTGCGCCTGCGTGGGATGGAGAATGGGGAGGGTCGGCGAGCGGTTAGGGTAGGGTAGGGTTCTCTGTTTCTCATGAGCCAGACTGATACAACTTGTTAATGGGCCAGGTCAGGTCATGTACTCATGTTTTCCACAGACTTGACGAGCCTACCGAGCGGCTTGCGAGCTAGCTCAGGCTTGGCTCGATTTGCAAACGAGCTGTGGAGGAAGCTCGGGCTCGGCTCGTTTAGTCTTCGAGCCGAGCCGAGCTTAACGAGCTCGAGCCAAGCCCGAGCCGAGCTCACGAGCCCGAGCTTTTTGTCCATCCCTAGTATGGTGACAGCAGAGTTCTTGATGGAGTCGACAGCTTGGAGCAGGATCTCCTTGTGTCGTGCAGGCACCGTCTCGCTGCCCAGCACCTTATTGCTCACGGTCGGCACGACCACCGTGTACGAAAGCAGCCTCTCCACCTCCTCCTTCCCCAGCCTCTTCACCACCTTCTTCTTCTTCTTCTTCTTCTTCTTCTTCTTCTTCTTCTTCCCTTCGCCGAGCAATGTATAGGCCAGCAAGGCAGCAACACCTCATCCGTCTTCATCTTCTTCGTCGCTGAGACCGTACCCCACTCGAAATAGCTTGGAATTAATCAGCCGCTTCTTCTCGCATGGAGCAGCGCATGTACTCTCCCCATCTAACTCCATCTCCATTGCTAGCGATTTTGGGGCTTTGCTTCTTCTTCTTTCTTTTGGTTGGTTCGACTCGACTCTATCACCACCTCTGGGCTGGGCTTAATTTTTGGAATCCTCTAACTCGGATGTAATCTGACTCGGACAAGTCCAGCCCACTAGACCATACCCGGATGGATCTTCCTACTTCTACTTCTGCAATCCCACACCCTCACCATTTGTTGGAAATAAGTTCATTTGAGGTCCCTTAACTTTACACCGAATCCGATTTTTCGTTCTTCAACCCAAAAATCAGATACAACCAGGTCCCTGAACTGTCAAAACCGGTGCAAACGAGATCCCCAGGCAGTTTGGGCTGACGTGGCGCATATGTGGCTCCTTTAACTAGGTCTTTGTCCCACGTGACATTGACGTGGCACTTACATGGCATTCGATCCTGGAAAAATAATAAAAACCGTGGACCCACATGTCAGCCTCTATCCTCCTGTAGACCCCCGATTTTGAAAATCGGAAATCTTCTGTGTTTATCCGTACCAATCCCTGGATCAGTAGTTGGTACACACATACATAGTTGGATCACAACATATCACGAATGAATTTAGGCTAAAAGAGTTAAACACTTACATTAGGGCCAGGTAGGCCAACAACTATCAGAGAACAACAGCGGAAGACAAAATAATATAAGGGCCCGGTTAACATGCCACAGGCAGTCGACTGGGGAACGAGACCTAGAACAAGACCGCACTCCGATCATCTTGTGGGATACGCAAGCGTACCGACAAGGGCTTCTCTTCAACACTCTCCTAAAAGATATATAAATAGCAAGGGTGAGTACCAACCGTACTCAGCAAGCCACCACAACAACAATGCATATGATAGAGGGTATTCAAGGAATGGTTTTAGGTTCTTTTGCATAAAGCTGCGTTTTGCAAATATTTTCACAAGCCTAAGACCTATCATAGACTGATCAAATTTTAGTTCCAGTGTTCACATTAAACAACGACGGTTCTGTCCACCATCCATTGTGATCCCAAGGATAGCTTCCCGCCATTGAGTCGTCATGGTTTTCTGAGGACGTCCACCTTCCCTCCTCTCAGGAAGTGGCTCCATCAGCATAAAAATCACCATGCAATATCCCATCCCACACAAGTTAAGAATTTAGAGTCTAGCCAAGTGTAATACATGTCCCGGTGCTCAATAACCGCGAGCACGGCTATTCGAATAGATTTGGTTTACTCACACTGCAGTGGATGTACACTTTACCCGTACTCCGCGACTGCCCAACACATGAGCCTCGTCCCAACACATGAGACGCGTCACGGCAAAGCTTTTCGATAACCTCGCATTGGCAGTACCCGCTCCATGAACTTAAATCCTCATGCACTCTAGGCGTCCATGTTTCTAGCAGTGAGAGGAGTTCTGGCGCTCCCGGGAAAGGGAAGTCTCACACACATATTAAATTATGGTTCAAGTTAAGTTCTCTCTCTCACACACTCATGGCAGTCCTACCAATGGCGACACCGATGTAGGGCACGCCTCTTGGCCCTACCTCAACGGCTGTCCCATCGTAGCGCACCTGCCTCACTCAGGGGTGAACCATCTATGCAGGGATACTGTCTCCGCTCGGCTATCTAATCCGCTAGGTCTATACCCATTCGAGAAGTACGGTTGTACGGGGGTCGTTTCATGCTTAACTTCATGGCTCGGTCCTTAATTGACCGGGGACGGTACTAGCCTTTTCCAGATACCACCCAAATCCTCCGTCCGCCCCAGTCGAAAACAGTTGTTTAATTTTATTTTTTCCTTTCACAAATCATGTCATCAACATCATGGCAATGTGGCGCTCATGTCTCCACATGCCGCATCTCAATTACCTTCCCAAAGGTAATTGCCCAAGCATATAGCATTTGATAAATATGAGTATGCATAATTCTAGAATAGCATTTCTAAGCAATTGTCATAGTTGACTAGGGACTCATACGTAAACATGGTTACAAAGATTTAAGGGTAAACAATAATCAAGGCATGGCATAATCACAAGTGGGATGTTCATCATTGCATGCAATTCTATTTGTAAACAAAACAATTTCGCAATTGGGATCAACATGTTCAAGGAATAGTGATGACTTGCCTTGCTCAAAGTCTTGCGGGTCTTGGCCTTCGCTTGGATCCGCAACTCCCTCGGGCTCTATAGTTACGTGCAAAAATTGATTTGAATTCGGTTAGAATTCAAATAAAAATCCAAATAAATCCAAATGAAAGTCGAATGCGAAAGTCGATTCCTTTTTATTAACTTTACTATCTGCAAACTACGGCAAACCCAATTTCGATTTAAACTACTTTGCGGGTATAATTATTTCGTTGTCAATAATTTACTTTCCCCGAGCATTGTATATAATAGGTTAGAAATTTCTATTACGAGTTAAATATTGGACGAAATCCTAGAAATATTATACAATTTAATTTAGTCTATGACTAAACGATTAATATAATATACGTCTAAAATTCCTAGCGATTACATCCGAATTTCTACCATGAATCGATTACTTATAGGGATTACCCAAAATAATCTATAATAATTACCGCGAATTGATCTAAATTATTACCGCGAATTGATCTCCTATAGACATTACTAAAAATAATCTATAATAATCTATTAAGATTCATCTAATTGTTTTAATTCGTAAATAATTAATTCTATAATCAAATCTTAGTACTTTTGGTATTTTAAATAGTAGGAGTTCATCTAACGATATTCTTATTAATCCTATAATTAATTTCTAATATGTTAAATATTCTAAATCTCTTAAATTTTCTTTTCCTTTTTCTCTTTTCTCTCTTTTCCTTTTCTTTTCTTTCCTCCTCCTTTTTCTTTTCTTTTCTCTTTTCTCTTTTTCTCTTTTTCCTTTCTTTCCTCCCTCCCGGCTTCCTCCTTCCTTCCTCTCCTTTTCCTCCCTCGGCCTCTCTCTTTCTCTCTCGGCTCGGCGACAAAAGAAAGAGGGGGGGGGGGCAGCGGCTCACCGACGGCGGCGACGGCGACGGCGGCGGCGGCGACGACGGCGCACGGTGCGGCACACTGGGGCGGCGGCACGGGGGCATGAACGCGGCGGCACGACAGCACGAGGGCGGCGGCGCGGCGGCACGATGGCGGCGGTGCGATAACGGCGGTGCGGTGGCGCGGCGGCGTGGAGGCGGCGGCGCGGTAGTGTGGGTAGAGGAGAGGGGTGGAGATGGAGGGGAAGAGGGGGAAATAGTG